GCAGCTCCTTGGAAAAAGTTTGAGGCAACACTTGCTTTCGGATGAGCTTTGCCAGCCCGCTTCAAGAAAGGGCTTGCCGGCCACAGGAGCTTGTCGCCGGGAGCAGTTTTGTGTCGCAATGTGTGTTGACAGAGCTTATTCTGGACGGACGGGGAACAAGGCCGATGCCTTGCTAGGGGAAAAACTTGGGCTGCCACTTCGTGTCGGGGCGGCCGACAACCTTCATTGCTGTAACTCGCTGGGGTCGGTGGCGGCGCCGCCGGCCAAGAAAGGAGGGCAAAAGTCAGCGCCCAGAGTGTCCTCAAGTGCTTCTTCCAGTTCAAGTGGAGACAGCAGCAGCAGTGATACAGAATCCTCGCCCGAAGAGACACCAGCTGCATCCGACGGTGGTGGAACGTTGCTGGGCCAGTGGTTCGAGATGGTTCGATGTTTTCGAAGCATCTTTCGGCACGGTATCCCACGCTCACACTTGGCCAAAGCTTATTCCGAAGAGGGCCTGGCGCGAGTGAGCGTGCAAGGCCCCAGCAAGACTCGCATGATAGTTTTTTCAGCCGGTGTTTTGCAGCAATCCCTCCGCCATTGGAGGGCACGCTACATTGCGTGCCTGAAATGGGCCGAGCACCTGGAGACACAGTTGGCGGCAAACGCAAGTCGCAAAGATTTGGTCTTGAAGAAAGACAAACTGTCTTCCCTCAAGCGGTCGATGTGCAGCATTGAAGTGCTGTCCGCAGCCTTTTGGTTGCAAGAGGGCGCCTTGTTCCAAAAACCCATCATCAACCCAAGGTCAACCAGTCAGTTTTCAAAGTCACTTCTTGGATTAGGAAAGAGTTCAACATGATCGAGTCGGCTTTGGCAGCAGCAGCAGCAGTAAGCGAGCCATCAACAACTATGGGGACCTTAGCAATCAGAACAAGAGGAGCACCTTTTCGAGTAGCACCTCGCCATTAGGCATCTGTAGTTAGAGCTACTATAGAGAAAATTGATAATAAATCAGGCCGGGGCACAATCAAGTTAGCTTTATTTCCTGACTGTGTCTTGGCGCCGCCACCGGCTGCCAAGGTTCAGTGGCTGAATTTTGGGCTGCACTTGCGCGGGAGTTTGTCACAAGCATCCGTGGAAGCGCAATTTGCAGCTAAGCCTTTCATGCCCATTTTCTTCCGCCTCACCGTGTGCCGTGAAGTTTTTGGCCGCCTCGGCCTGTCAGAGTCAGAGCTCTTGCTGCACAAGGGCGAGGAGATGGGCCGTGCTAGTGGCCCCTTCGTGGCCAAGTTTCGCTGTAGCATTTGTGGGCTCGTACTCCGAAGTGGTGTGGAAATGCAAATTCACTTGCGAAGCCATGAAGGACATCCCTCTGCAGCCAGCTTGCGTATATACCGAAGAGCCCAAACAGAGCCAGAGCAGAGGGCAAGTTCAAAGCCTTCAGCCCAGATGCGAGCTTTGGTTCTCCAAGATGAAGCCGTTTTGAAAGCCCCATCCATCCACACCATTGTGCTGAAGATTCGCTTCCTTCACGGCTTGCTGGAGCACGTGTGTTTCCTTTGCCCCGTTCAAACGAACGACAGGAGACGATGGCTTCGGGGAGGGTTTTTGGCAGTTCATGACTTCATGGCCTTTGCCGTCGCTTTCATTGGTGCTTCTCTGTGGCGCACCCTCCCAGAGTTTTGGAGGGCGTATTTCTCGTGGACACTGACCGGGTGTCATGACGGATGCTGTTTGGTTACTCCGTTCCGTCTCCGGGAGCATGCCGAGGGCCTCCGCCGACGGCCTCGGCACTTGGCTCTGTCTGCGGCTGAAGCCGTGCTGAGCGGAGTTCTTCATGCCCAGGCTTACTTCCGGAAAAGGTTCTTCAGGTTCGACCAAGTCGTTCGGGACAGTCACGGTACACATATGCCGTTGAGTGTCCGAGAGGCGGTGTGTGTCATGTGGTGGCTCCCAGAATTGCTTCAGGTAGGTGACCTCCCCAGGATTGATGATTGGGAGCACCTCAGAACCTTGGGTGAGTTGCAGGCGGATATGGCCTTGCTTTCACCTGTTTTGTCGTGGGCCTCCCGGATGCTACCGATGTTTCGCTGGCCTTCGCAAGACAGTGTCTACTTCCAGTATCTTTTGCTTGTCCGCACCTGGCGTGCCCGACTTCGAGAAGATGTGGAGCTGCAGGGTTTGGTTTGGGAGCGCTCGAGAGGAACCACGACTTTCTCTTGGCCTTTGATCAGCAATTCCCGGCTAACACTCTTATAGTTTGGTAAAACTTGTTGGTCCTCAATGTTCTGGCCTGTTTTAGGATCAGAATCCTGAATGATCTTTTGTGCAAAAATCGTTTTAGGATGAGGATCCTAAAACAAACGAGAGGGGCGCTCTACCTCTACCCGACTCGGTTTCTTCTTGATTTTGGTTTCGGCTGGTCAGGGCAAGCTCACGCGATTTGTGAGGCAAAACTTCTGGCGGGCGGCCCACACTCTTGAGGCCATGCAGCCGGTGGGGTGCGAAGCTGCCTGGATGCTCTTTCACGTGTTTGGAAGTTACGGTGTTGCTTGGGTGGCTGCTTAATACTTACATTTGTTGTAGTTTTGAGAAGACATGGAAAGGCATTTTATAGTGGCGGTTTTGGGACTGCATCTTGATACTTTGTGGAATGCCTGGTTATTTTTGCATCTTGATGTTTTGCTTGTCATTTCAAAGGGCAGGTTCTTCCACTGGTCCATCAGCATAGCTGGATCTGGTTGCCAACGAGTCATTCGGTATATTCGCGTGGCTCGACCCAGGAGAGCGAAGCGCCGGCAGAGTCGATGGCCAGCGTTCTGAAGCGGTTTTGCGGCGTGAACCTTCCCACGCGACTTCGAAGAATTGAGGTCCCCCATAACCGGAAACTATCTCGCGCACCCTGTCAATTTTTGAAGTCTCTTGCGGTAGACGATTCCCTTTTCCAAGATTGCGCCTATACTTGCCCTCAATGCACTGTTATTGCTGCCAATGAGGGTAGCCACGACACAGCAATTTAGATACCCAGCCGGAGGTTTATACTATTTTTTCCTTTGTCCTGGTATCAGCCAATCCTTTTCCTGTTGATGTACGCACTAAACAGAAAACTCATTTTGGTTTCGATTTGTCCCCCTCACACCCTGCCATGTGAGGGCCGTTAGATTTTTATGCCCCCCTCTTTCCCTTCCTCAGCCCACCTCCGCCCCCGCAAATGTACCAAACTGTTTTGGATGTTGGGGATCACTCGTGGTATATAGTACTTTTGCTGTGGTGGGTGAGCTGGCTGGGCTCGGCCGACCCAAGGCAGAGGGTCTTGGAGAAGACCTACTTGAGCCTCCATGGGCTGAGCGGGGATGGTGCGGATGATTTGTTCATCCAGCAGATTTGGCGGCATATGAACGTCGGATCTTTGCTCTTCAAGAAGCGGAAGAGACGCTTCGGCCTAGGAGGTGGGTCAAAGTCACTCCATACCCACCAGTTGCGACGGCTCACTCGAAAGAGCTTCGTGGCAAAAGTGGGCAGTTGAAGGGCTGGTATGGGACAGGATTGTTAAGCCTAGGTTCAACAGGCATGCAGAAGATGTCAATTTCCACAACCCTGGGCTCACACATGCACATAATTGTGTGTGTGAGGTTGCCTTTGTGTCCGAAGCCTGTTTTAGAAACAGCTGCTTGTGTAAAGAATCACATGGTAATCTACAAAGACAGTCACAGAGAACACATGGTAATCCACAAAGAGCTGGTGTTTGATGTCCGGCTCGCGGTTGAGGTCCGGTGGAGAACACTGCCAGCCAGAGCTCGTGTTTGAGAGGGTATATAATATCATTGAAAAATGGAAACGTGTAGACATTAGTTCAGGGGATGTTATCATTAAAGCGAAAAGGGACAGATATTAATGTAGAGGGTGTTCTTATTCAAGATTTCTAGTGTATTGGGCGGTTAACCCTTTTGTGAAAAAGTTCGTGGTGATAATTTGATAAGAGGGAATTAGATAAATCTGTTCAGTAGTTTAAGAACAAACCAATCGGAATGAAACTCAATAGGTAATCATCAAAAAACAAAAGGAATGTTCAAAGGGAATTCACAAACAAAGGCAAAGAAACGAAACGCATAGACGTGATTGCAGGGGATGCTTTTTTGAAAGAAGTCAAACAGGCCAGACACTATTAATATTGTAGGGGGTTAAGTTATACAGGATCATTCAAGAATTCAGAGGGATTTCAAGAGGAATTCAAAAGGATTAGCGCTACAAACCTGCTGTATCTAAGTTGCTAAATGCTATATATATACATATACTTTTAAACGTGCTGAAACATCCTATATTTAATCGTTTTTGGCAAACATAATACAGCACAATAAACATCAACATTCAAACCAAAAACACAGAAATCAACTGAAACCAAACTTCCCGAAAAACAAACACATATGTGTTTTGTTCTTGTTGTTTTTGTGTTTGCGTAAAAAGATGCTTTCAAAAAAGGCTTTAGATGTATATATATATATATATATATGTTGTTAAGAATCATCAAAAACAGCAGGCTTAAACACGTTATCGAAACATATCGAAAACGCATTTGTAGCCGTCAGCTAATGAGGAACACAGATTTCTGATAGTGTCAAAACATAGCTTTTGACCGGCAGGCCCACAGAAAACAGTTCTAGGTAGATAGGGGGTGTCCATATATATATATATATAGATATGTGTGTAAGGATAGAATCATACATAGATGGATTGGGTCCATCCTACTACCTGCAACTGTCAGTAAACAATGATCATTATTTTTGAACCAGGCCTTTGCTAACCATCATCCACTATTACCGGAAATTGATAGGATAGATGCTAAATATGGATTTGTAAGATGTTCTTATTCATCCACTTTCCGGGATACTTTACAAACAAAAATGTATTTACAGTAGGTGGACTTGACTTCAATCCAGTCTCACCATTCCCATCGACCCGTTCGACCCTTCAACTGGGACTTCGACCCTTCGACTTTCGCACCGAAGAGTCCGAAGAGCAAGGACGATTGCCAATTCGCCCCGGACTTCTCCGAGCAGCTGCTCTTGGAGCGCCTCTCGCACGTTCCTGAGGACCAAGCGCAACATCTCCGGACTAGAGGTGAACATGAAGATGGACCAGGAACGTTGTTAGTGTCATTTTAGCAACGTAAGATACGACAAGTTCATAAATATCATGGGTATCAACCTTAGCTGTCGGTAGCAAGGGGCGCAAGGGGGATGTCTTGAGAACAACTGACACACCAGGAACGTTTGGACCCAAGGACATGTCGTTGTGAGTCTTGGTCGAATGCTCAGGGGCAATCCTCAGTTTTTGTTCCCAGTCCCTAGGCCTTAGGGATCCACAGCCACCTGAGAAGGTACATACTGACCCATACAGAAGGCCGCGCAGAGATGATCTCATGTCGAACACACGACCTCCTCAGAGAATGGTAGTGGAGCCATATGGGCATGGAATCCAGCGCTGGATGCTCGTCTTCCCCACCCGGTTTTCAAGCCGAACAACATGTGCGATCGATTCCACCGATGGATGTGATGGCAGGATTGGGAGATCGTCTACCTTGGTGGACAAGATTTGCTTCGCAGGCGTGTCGCTCCGGAGACCCCGGTTCTGCACCCCAAGGTTCGGATCTTTGACCAGTCAACCGCTATTGGTTGGGAATCTCCCAATTTGAATACACACATTTACACACCATTTGGTTTTAAGGGAGGTTAAAGTGCTGAAGTCTAGACCAAAGGGACGTGGCCGGTGTTTTCAGGGCCTTCCTTCAGTTTGACGAATTCTACTGCGGGTGCCGGGTGCAGGTCAACCAGGTATCCTGGTGCCATTGAGCTGCATCCCCACAGCCGTGTCAGTGTCCAATGTAAAAAAAGTACAGGCAGTATAATGTATTTGACTTGTGGGTCTCATCCATAGTCAAGATTTCTCATGTGTTTTGGGTTTGCAGACATGCTCTCCAGTCACAGAGTAGAGCACTTCTTCAAAGTCACCAAACTTTTGTGTATTTATTTATACACGGTATCTATTCGCGCATGTCGGCATCTTGAGATGCACCCATTATACCGGTCGTTCTATGTGTTCGTCGTGAATATGTTTCAGTGTGACTCAAAAATCGAAGCCCCACACCTAGCAGTAAAATGGTGGAAAGGTGTGGAAGGTGCGAGCGCACGCACTAGGGCAGGACTCCCGAACGCTCGCGGTGTTCCACACAAACTGGAGCCTGGACAAATTTCAACATTTGACAATTTGACAGGTTTGTTGATGGTTTGTTGAACCTGTACAGCTTGGAAAGTAAACCCTTAAAACAAATATGTTTTGAAGAGGCCGTCAGCGAAATGTTGGGGTCCACGGGGTCCATGTCATGTTCTTTATTTGGACTAGTAGCTTCTTGTTCCCAGTAGCGATGGCCTCCACCGTGCGTAGCTTCTTGGGGGACGGAGCGAGGTGGGGAGGTGAGATAAGCGCAGCCACGCACACAGCGGTTCCGTCGCGAAGCGACGGTGCCCTCAGGCAGCACTTGTACGAAGTTGGAAAAGGAGTTCGGCGACTTTACAAGGGTTTTCGAGACTCTTGGCGGAGAAGAGACCCAAAAAGGTGAATGTGATGAATTGTGGTATAAGAATTGTTAAGCACTTAGTAAGCAAGTCAGTCACCCCGACAGCCACCAAGTCTTATGCTCATTGGACCTGGATCGCTCGCTTGTTTCACGTTCCCAAACACCTCCGCACCGTTCGCTCTCGGTTTTGAGTTGAAATGACGAACGTACCGTACATGGGACGGGTGGTTCGCTGAGACGACCATTCTTTGTTACGAGGAACATTTGGGAACATCTCTTGGGGTCGACTCTCTTAAGGTGCAATAAAGATAAAAACCTTAAGGTCTTGTACGGTTCTCATTGTGTAGAACGTTTTTTTCATATGGGAGAGAAACTATTTGGTTTTCCAACAGAATGGGTCTGACATGTTTGGCTTTCTTATTGAGAGGCCAGCTCTGTGACCCTGTGTATTTGCCACTTACATGTTGTATGTTTAACCCAGTGGATGTGCCAGGAAGACAAAAACCTTGAGACAAAGCTGGCTTCTGTTCTGTTTTTACTCGAATCTATTGGCTTCTCTGAATGTTTGCAGAAGTACTTGACATGCCAGTCCAAAAGACCAAAGAAGACCAATTAAATTTGGATCCAAACAAGATTTGAACAGCCATTCCTAACCCTAGACTTCTTTTTGAAGGTCTTACAAGGCTCGAGACGACCCTCCCTTGAAGAAAAACGTTTCGAACTCTCTGTAGATGGACTTAGTTGTAGAAGTCTTCTTCAACTGGAGATGGTGTATTTGGCAAATTGTTTCCTTTGTGAGTTAGCAGGGAGGCTGCAAAATTGCTACATATTTATAAATAATACTATAACAAATGATCAGAATGCATGCGTTTTGTGCTATTCTCGTTGACACCACCTTTGCTTGAAGTCATCCCCCATCAGGAGACCACAGCCTACCTCATCAATGATGCCGGGGCCAAGGCTTGCTTGGAGGTGGGGAATTCCGTTGCGTCGGACGTCCTGCATTGCTGACGACTCGCAAGGAGGCACCAGCGGTTTTGTGGCCGGGATAATGGGTATTATTGCACGAAGCGTTTCTTCAGGATGCTGGGATGACCAGTAATTGACTGGCTGCGCGCACCTAGTCGTTCCTAAGCTGAGCGGACTGGATAGCAAGCCAAGCCTTCATTCATTCCCCAGCAGCTTTTCTTGACTTTCAGATGTTCATCTTAGCGCTCAACCCTCCAACGATGTGGTTCTGAGAGCAGGCGAACGATATCATGGCCCAGCACCGTTAGCTTTGATCTTGTTAATGTTGGGCTCGAGTTGTGCCCGCAATGCTCAGACAATTAATTGCCTTACAGTGGCCTTACAGACTTGGCGAAAGAACGGCCACTTCAGGATCACCTGGTGGGCCGAACGGAGAAGCGCCGTTACGTGCGTGAGCGATGAGACGAGGGATGAGACGAGGGATGAGCAGTCCATCGAGCGGTCTCCGGTTTTGTCGACCCCTTAGGGATCCAAGTCGCAGCTTGTCAGGTTCGGTACGACTGGACCCTCCTGGCACCTGTCTTACAGTGTTTCCAATCACCTTCTGAGATTCCAATCACCTTCTGAGACGTTACGTGGAGGTGATCCGGTTGTACCACCCTTTCAGGTCCGTAGGTCCGTTAGCTCGGTACCCATCACGACCCTCACCACTCGACCCACTGGGTCGACCTGATACCGAGACCGAGCTGGGTCGGAAAGGTACGGTGGGTGGTGATGGTTTTCTATACAGTAGGTAGCCCTCGTCCTTTTTTCCGATGCCACGATCGACAGGTGAGCGTTCCGCTCTACTGGCAGATCGACACCCACATGAACGATGAATCCCTGCGCGAAGGACCGAGACATGGGTTGGTTACAGTTACTGTATACCGAGACAACCTGAGTGACCCCTGTTTCGGATAATTGTTAATTGTTTTAAACATATATATATATATTATATTTTGATACTTAGTGTTTGTTCCTATCAAAACAGGTCAGATGGGTTCTAGGTTTATCTATAGGTCCAAGCTGTCGACAGGGGGCTTGCGAGGCGCAGCTACTTCTTGAGCACCCAGTTCCGTTTTGGGCCAAGTGAAATTGGAGCCTGCTTTTCGATGCAGCCCAAGGCTTCAGTACTGTAGTTGAGAAAGTGGTTGAAGCCGCAGCAGGAAGGGGTGCACGATTGTTCTAGTCCCCATTACAGTCGAAATCGACTTCGACTGATGCTTGAGATCCTGTTCAGGGTGACCCCCCAGCATTGAAAGGTATAAACTTGGGACCCCACAACACAAACGGGGCAACACCGTGTAATTGTACCATTATCAATTATAAACCATTAAAACCATTATACTATTATACCTATGCTACCGGAGCCCTGCCAATGTTGTTGTTTTTGTTTCTGCCATTGTATGCCCTTGTGGTTGGGAACATCCTGGTACTTTCTTCATCATGGTGGCATTTTGCTCCGGTCTTGTTCTCAGCAACGCCAGGACTGAAGCCTCCCTTGCCTGGTCATCAGGACCAAACCATGCATCCCAGGGGCTACTTCCTGTGGCCAGGACCTGCGGGCTGTTGAAAACCACAGATCAAGGTGATGTCGTAGGTCAAACTGAAGGTGAGGCAAGGCGTAGAAAGTCCTTGAGGTTCCCCCAAGGCGGAGGTTTTTGCATGATCACAGGGCAGGTTGGCTGATTGTATACGTAGTTTTGTCTTTGTTGAATGTCACGCGTGTTATCTCTTTAAGAGCATGTCATTTGCCTTGGGGCATGTGTAGTTTGCATGAGATGCACACTCCCAATCACAGACTATCAAGACCCTGCACTCCATGCAGTAAAGCACCCACCCACACACTGACACTTGTATTCAGTGAACTCAGTTACCACGCTGGGAAGGAAGGTGACAGAACTGCATGGTGGAGAGTCCGAAAGACTTGTAGGTGTTTCAACAAGTTGTTGGTCAAGTCTGCTGAACGATCGGTCGGCGCGGCTCAGCTGCAAGACAAACGCGGCAAAGGGAAGGTTTTGGGGAAGTATCATGAAGAACCATGAACCAAAAACGTGGAAAGTGGAGTCACAGCTTGTGGATAAATCGGCAGGTACACACCAAAGCGTCCTTTGGTGCTTCCCCTGTCACATCCTAGCTTCGTTGGGCCAGGTTGGATGTGACAGGCCTGGCCCCCCTGCTGAAGTTGGTTGAGAACCCTTTTTCCAGGGGTGGACACACACAAATCGCCGGCTTCGGCGCTTTTTCAAAGAACGGTGGCACAGACACGGTGCCGCTTGGCGGCGCGTGCGTGGAAAGCCTGAATAGATACCTAAAAAGCCTTAGAAACAAAAGGAAAGAAACACAGAAAGAGCAGCGCTAAGAGGGCAAGAGAGAAAGATAGGCGTAGAAAAATGAAAAATGAATACTTAGCCCTTGACTGGGGTAGGGAAACGAGCCTCAAGAACAACCTAAAAAGCCTGAGAGAAAGCCCAACAAACGACAAAAAACGCAAGAAGGAAAGCGGGGGGCAGGGAGGGGGTGTATGTCCATGTGTGTGTACGTGTGTGTGTGTTTGACTACCTAGCACTCTGGAGTTACTGAATACTTAGACGAAGTGAATTAGGTGCACTAGTTAGGGAGCGGGACTTTAGTCTTAGACCGCCCGGGTAGGAAAGACTAGAACAGGAACAACACAGGGAAAGGCACCGACACACAAGTGTGTCGAGTACCATTTCCCTATGTTGCCCTAAATAGGTAGGGAGTAGAACACAGCGGGGGGGGGGGGGGG